TACTGAGAAAACACCCTTTTGGATCCTTTATTTTTAAGAGTGTGTCCTCTCTTAAACATTTGAATTGTACATATATGCACACAAGCAAAGTATTAAAATGTGTCTTAAAAGTTTTATTTCAAACAGGATCCCTTCAAAGAACTTTGAGTACAGTTTAGTCGAGTTGAATTTGAGACTATCAGAAGGAAAGAATGAAAGCATATTGTGATGATTAACCGACAGATTTTGTGCTTGGAATAATTCAAAAACGAATCATTTTAGTTTCTTGGTCCTTTATGTTTAAATGTATTGTAAAAACCCAGACTAAAATTGTATTGCTCAGGAGACTTGATGGGGATCTCACTCGTGTTTCATGTAGCTTTCAATATATTTCTCCTAAAATTCATTTGTAGAAATAATAAGAAATGAATTTGGATAGCTTAGATTACTTGGTCTTGGAGGAATTAAATGAGAAATGTCATATTAAGTGTATCTTCACACTGTTGATCAGATTGCTGAAACATGTAGGAAGAATTCTCAGTTTGCTGTCCATTTAGTTTCATTGCTGTCTAAGAGAAACAACTCAGATATGATAAAGTTTATAAAGTCTTGCATATGAAATAATAGATGGAATCTATTTTTTAAAATTAGAACACTTCATTGAACCTGAAGAGAAAATATTTTGAAATATATGTGTATTATTGTTTGTATCATATTTAATAGCTCAGGCTTTCATTACTCATATTGTACAATATAGTGAGAATAAGGAGCTCACACCTGAGGAGGAAAAAAAAACGAAATTTCATGCAGAGATCCAACCTGTCCAAAAATATCCAATTTGGTGCAGATGTTGTTGCAGATAAATTCTTATAGCTTGTAAGTAAATCAATGAGATCTTCATTACAGAACTTACATAAAATGCATGTAAATGCATATAAATCAGTACACTCTAAAAAATGCTGGGCTAAATATAACCCAGTGCTGGGTTAAAAAGGGACAAACCCAGCTATTGGGTTAATTTCACCCGCTGGGTCAAAAAATCCCACATAAAATGCATGTAAATGCATATAAATCAGTACACTCTAAAAAATGCTGGGCTAAATATAACCCAGTGCTGGGTTAAAAAGGGACAAACCCAGCAATTGGGTTGTTTTGACCCAGCGGTTGGGTTAAATGTTTAATCCAACTTTCTGGGTAGTAACCCAACCGCTGGGTCAAAACAACCCAATTGCTGGGTTTGTCCCCCTATTTTTGTCCCTATTTTGTTGTATTTCACCCAGCATTTTTTAGAGTGTATATGATATTCATATATATCCATATATATGATATAGATTTTAACATGATTTTTCAAAAAAATCAAGTAAACCTACATTGCTTCAGCCCAGTAAGAGTTCATCATGAAATATTACTAACAATATAATTTACCCTTATGCTTACTTTATAAAAATCAGTAAAGATTTCACAGCAAAAAAGTGTGCCACGAACTCAAGGTGGACAGTTTTAAAATTATATAAGGGTTATACTAAATTATCAGTCAGGTGAAAAAAAGCAGGTGTTTTAGATGAGGTTTTCAGCAAGGTTTTGATCATATTGATCATTTAGATGCCTTAGAAATGTATCTATCAAATAAGACACACTAGGCTTTATAAGATTAAATAACATGTAAATTTAGCACGTAAGAAAGCACTCCAGTTGAGTTGTTTTAATGCACATTTGTAGAAAAATATCCTCAAAAATGAAGATAACGATGATGAAAAACGACATGGAGAAAAACAAGACAACAAGTGAGATCTTCGCTGTCAGCCCTGTTACAACAGCACTGGTTAGATCAAGCGAGTGAGTCAACCATCTTTACTGGCAACACTTTTAATGGTTAAGATCATTTCCATCATCCTGCCAGTCAGTTCCTCCCACCCTCAAGCTTTCATCCAACGTATACACTATTGTGATGTTCATATTGTACATTTGAAAGGGAATCCATCAAAACCTCTTTAAATTCATCTGAGAAAGCGAATGAGTGCTGGAGAGAAAGAGAGAAAGAGAAACAGCAGCAAATAAGTGCAGTTTGTTCATCCGTGTCTGTAATTTCATCCATCCTAGGCCCTGTAATCATTCACTTCTCTCTCTCTTTGTCTACTGCTTTACGGTCCTCCTCCTTCAACGTGGTGCATGTGATCTTGGTCTTAAACACAGCTTTTTTCTTGCTTTAGATGTGTTTATGTGTCTGTCTATGAGTAAGAGAGGATGAAAGAGACAGAAAAAGGCAGAGAGTGCTGATGAAAAGTGGTCAATCATAGAAACTATGACTCATCTCACGCAATCAGTGTCTCATACATCACATGCATGTAAAACTCTTCGCGGATTGATGTTGCAGTTGCTCTATGACCATGTTCTGGTTTTGCACAATAAAACAGTGACAAAGAGAATCTGGATCATAAATTCATTGTTTTATGTGTGTCAGTAATCTGTGTGTGTGTGTGTGTGTGTGTGTGTGTGTGAAACAGAAACAAATTGTCAATACTGGGGGAGGCAGTCATTGTGGGTTGGATGGGTTTAATTGATCACTCTGCTGAAGGAGACAAACTCACTTCTACCCTCCCCCTCTGCCATCTGTGGGGTCACAGACACATGCTGATTTTTATGCAATGCACTGACTTGTCTATATACCCCCCTCCTTACGTTCTTCCCCTTTTTTTTATAAATCAGAAATTCGGCATTGGACAGTTGACTAAACAAACTGGCTGAACAAATTGAACTGTCCTGTTCTGTATTTTCTAATTGGCAGGATTTGTTTGAGGGATCAAGAGATTCTCGTAATGTTACGTTGCCACGTAGTGGCCATTGAATGTGATTGCATGAGTCAACACTGCCTGCCTACGGATAAAATAAAATAAAATAAAATAAAATAAAATAAAATAAAATAAAATAAAATAAAATAAAATAAAATAAAATAAAATAAAATAAAATAAAATAAAATAAAATAAAATAAAATAAAATAAAATAAAATAAAATAAAATAAAATAAAATAAAATAAAATAAAATAAAATAAAATAAAATAAAATAAAATAAAATAAAATAAAATAAAATAAAATAAAATAAAATAAAATAAAATAAAATAAAATAAAATAAAATAGAGATCAATTAAATATCTCATTTGTTTCTCCTTAATTTCTGCTAGACATCTTGGTGTATTGTATACTTCGTATCTTACAGCTGTTCAGATAGACACTATGAAACCAATATATAATATATCAAGGCTACAATGTAGGTTATGATAATGGTTTATTTGTTATAATTTATACATGTATTTTTTTTATTCACTTTTGTTTTTAATCAATATGCCAGAATAATTATTTGATAGTAATATTTTAATTTGACAATTTTTTGTTATTTCATTTCATTTTTATTTTGTGTTTTATAATTACTTTATTATTAAATACGACTGAAATACCACTCAATCGCATATACTGCATTTTAACTGCACATGGATTATGTGATGTGGATTATTGCGTTTTGACCTTTGGCATTTCATATTTTATAAATTATGTTGTTCTTAATTTAAAAAAGGTTCATTTTGTGACAGCTTGTGCTAAATAAAAGTTTGTATTTCTTGGGCAATAACAGTGGAAAGGAGGCACTTTTTGTTGCCAATTATACTACAGGGCCGTTGAATGCTTGAATCTGATTGGCTGACGATCGTTCTGAGGTGTGCAAATATTTTCAGGGAAGTAAGCAGTGTTGGGGAAAGTTACTTTTAAAAGTAATGTACTCCATAAAAAAAGTAACTAATTACGGTACTTAGTTACTTTTTATGGAAAGTAATGCGTTACGTTACTTCTGCGTTACTTTTTAAATCTGGACAGGGCTTCCGTAGTATAAGTGGAATAATTGACTCCGGGCCGTTTAATTATTAGAAAAATAATGCTCCGCTTCGCGTCGTGGCCACATCACCACCTCGGGTGTGCATTATTTTCTAATAATTCAACAGCCCCTAGTCAATTATTCCTTATATGCACTGGAGGGATGTGGATAAATGGAGTGATGCGAGTGGGAAACTGTGACAGCTAGCAGTCTTCTGGAAGAAAACTGACAACAAAATGACTAGAAAATGTCACAAGCACAGTTCCTTTAGGAATGTGTACAGTGCACTGTGAACAACTGTGTAAGATTAGAGGTATATGTCCATATGTCAGTCACTATGTTGTGAATAGAGTCTCTCTGTATCAAAGAGAATGAATCAAACAAGCTATTATAGAGCAAATCACTGTGATTGAATCTGCCTTCAGGATGCAATTTATGCATTCTTCAAGTGATGCAGATATTGACAGTAATCCTTTTTATATATAATAATGAAAAACTGAAATGCAAATGTTCTGAATCTGAGTGAGTGATGCCGTCATTACAGAATGCTACAGTCTACTTTCTGGATTGGTTGGCATGGAGACAAAAGCATGGCCATATGGGCAGGCTCATTTAAATTAATTATTATAAGAATGTTGAGCATTGTTTAGTATTTCTAAATAAATAAGAAAACACTGCATTTTTCATTGGCTGTTTTATTTCTAGGTACAGACCCTTATTTTTAGATATGAGAGAGGCTTTTTATATGTTTTTTTAATTACATTTTTTTTTATTACCATTGCATGAGGAATTTATCTGATGCATTTCGTATTTACTTGCATGAAGTTTAATTTGTTGACTAAACCTTTTAACAAAAGACAGCTGCCAGTAATTGATCATTTTAAGGCGAAACATTTTCACATTTTCTGTGTATTTATAATATTAATTTATATACATTTATTGCCTACTTATAATACATATATATTATATGTATATTTAAATAAATAAATAAATATATATATATATATATATAAAATATAATTTCTCAAATTTTGTGTCAATATATTTGTTAAATGTGTCAATATATTTAATATTATTTTGATATTTTATTTTGTTGTTTATTAGTTTTTTGTTATTATTAAAAAATATTACCATTACTTTTTTTATTTACACGGACAAGCCGGAAGTTGGAAGAGTGGCTGCAGCATATACCGGTGTGTTATTATCCCGATTGTTGGTCTAATAATTCTAATTTTAGCTTTAGTTATTAACTTTGAAATAAGATATTTACTTTTGTTATTTCATTGTCAGGTCCCGTTGATGTTTGTGACCAGCAGCGATGAGGACTGTGCTTATGGTGGCTGAGAAGCCCTCTCTGGCTTAGTCCATTGCCAAAATCCTCTCTAAAGGTGAAAATGTATAAAAGATTGAGTGTTTGAAAAAGCACATATTTTGCATATAATTACAGGCCCCCTAATTATAAATAGGAGAGGAGTTGATTTGGTTTTCCAGTTTCTTCAAATGAAATAGCACGCTTGATGTCCTTTTTGCTCCTGTGTGACATTCTGTCAGGCTGCAGGACTTTTCAAATAAGCAGGGGAAAAAAATATTTTTTTTCCTTTTTTTTTATTTATTTATTTTTTTTTACATGTCGACTATTTTAAAGGAAACAAGACTCTTACATTTTGAATTCATTTGTTTCTTGAATGAGAGAAAGAAGTTTTTGTTACAAAACTAGTTTATTCAATCACATTTACAAGCATTCAGCAACTATATCTATATTGTAGTATGCATTGTGGTGTTGTTTGTTTAAGCTGATAAGCATTATTATTCAGTAGACTTCTTTGTGGTTGACATTAAATTTAAGTGACACTATTATAATAATAGTTGAAGTTGAATCAAGTGCATGAATTGTTAGACCCAGCGCTAATTCTGTCTGGATGTAGCACATATACAGGCGATGTTCACATCCTCGAATTCCAGTGCGTAAGTTGGGCATCTTGGGTTTTTTCTGAGAAATGGCATTTTGATTGCGATGGGGATGCTCTCCAGACTGAAAGCGCTGTCGACCCCCTTACAGGAATGACTGTTCAGGCAGTTTGCTTCATAGATGATCTGTGGCACACGGTCCAGGTCAATGTTCTCCCTGTTATTGGTGCAGAAAGAATAAAAAAAAAATATATATATATTCAGATGTATTCAGAATTTGATGGTCTGTAATTGTCCTAATTGGCATCAAAACGTCTTTCAGATAAGACTGTCTGAATTGGATGCCAATTAGGACTGTCAAATTTTGAATCGTTACAAAATTGAATAAGAAAATGATTGGATGTATCCTGTATAAAATGGACCTGCAGTATACCTTTCCTTTTACTGGCTGTAAATCCATATTTTAAAAAGGCGTACAAATCTGCTGTACTCACTCGTAGCTCCATGCAGCGACGCTGCGCTCGTTGATTCTGCTGGGCAGGTTGATGAGCTGTGTGTGGTATTCTTTCAGTGTGGAGGAGCAGTAGGTGTGCTCCACACACTGGGCCATGATCGGACTGCACTGGCTGGGGTTCACGACCAGCAGAAAAATGCTTAGGAGTCCTAGAATCTGAGCGAGAGAATGAGAAGTTGGCAACAAACTATCATTACGTATTATGTGGGCTTCTTTGTGTTTGGTGTTCTTTGGATGACGGGCGTAAACTAATAATATCGTACTCATCTTCAGTCTTTTTTGTTGTGGACACCTTCATGGATTGTGTTCAATCTGAAGCTAATGGCAAAATATAACGCCTACATTCACAGACACTGTTCAGCAGTGTACATTGGCATCATTCAAGCTAAAGAATAATTATAGATTCAGTGTGTCCCTTAGTCTATATTAAATGCATCAGTAATGAACAATGAATAAATGTAGTTTACAAAAATTTTGTCCTGGGCTCTCAGTTATAGTAATTTGAGGTTTGCATCTTTGACAGTTTTTTTTTTTTTTTTAAACAAATTTCTAATAAATACTAAAAACAGATTTTATCCTAAACTGACGGCTAACTTTCAGGTTCAGATCCCCATCCGTTTTAGTTTAGTTCATTTTCAGTTTAGCAATCAGCCAGGACACTTTCGGTCGATTTACTTTTCATAATTTCTCAATTTTTGAAAAATTGTTTTTGGTGTATTTTGGGTAAATATTGTGTAAAATTTGATGTCAGCAATTTTGTTAACTTATAATTTAACGTAATTAGAGTCCAATGAGTGTGTGTGTGTGTGTGTGTGTGTGTGTATATATATATATATATGTGTGTGTATATGTATTATTTATATATACTTAAATATGCGCACTACCGTTCAAAAATTTGGGGGTTTTTTTCTCCTCTTTTTAAAATTTTTTTTTTTTTAAGAAATTCATACTTTCAGCAAGGAATCATTAAATTGATCAAAAGTGACAGTAAAGACATTTGTCATGTTAAAAATATATATGTATATTAGATAAATGCTGTACTTTTGAACAATTATGTACATCAGAGAATCATGAAAAAATAAAATGCATGATGGTTTTCACAAAAATACTAAGCACAGTTGTTTTCAACTTTGATAGTAAGAAATATTTATTGAACAGCGAATCTGTATATTAGAATGATTTCTTATGATTTTGTGTTCCTGTTTTGTGTAATTATTAATTATTTCTGAAGGATCATGTGACACTGAAGACTGGAGTAATGATGCTGAAAATTCAGCTTTGCATCACAGGAATAAATTACATTTAAAATATATAAAAATAGAAAACAGTTATTTTAAATTGTAATAATATTTAGCAATTTTACTGTTTTTAATGCATTTTTGATCAAATAAATGCATCCTTGGTGAGCATTCTTTCAAAAACATTAAGTAATCTTACCAACCCCAACATTTTTGAAGGATAGTGTTACTAATTGTATGTTTTTGTCTGTAATCAGCTGTATCAGAAGTAATTTAAATCTAAAAAGTGATTCAGTCCAAGTAACTGCAGTTTTCTAGTTCTGGGTCCTAGCTGATCTTGTGAGGCAATTCTTGTGAGAATGGTGTTGGATACTTACCTGTAGATGTTGCATTCTGGAGAAACGGAGGTGAGGAGTGCAGCGAGAGGCTGGAGTCTTGCCGTGCTTGTAGAGGGTAAAGCTTCCAGTCCAAGTGTGTCCATCCCCTCCTTTTGGGTCTATATTTATGTACCACCATCTCAATGGAGACCTCCAAAAATCTGTAGCGTAAGCCGGAGAGGACATCATCATCAGGCTCATTCACCATGAACTCCGGGTTCAGCCTTGGGAACAGCATCTCATTACCTGACGGGGACCGTTGGCGTAATTCAGATTTAAATCTGGTAGAGCACAAAACAGAAAAGAATAATGCATAATCGGCTCTTTGCTCTCTCATTTGACTTTATGATGGATCGCTCAATGCCAGCACCAATTAGACTGCTTTTAGTCTGCTGATTTGTCAGTGTCTACCATCAATGTTTCTGACGGAGTGCTTATGCAGTAGTCAAGCTTACATGATCACGTTAGTTGCTTTTGCAGACAATGATGTGGTTCTAGGCAGATTTGAAGAATGATAAACGGTGTGTGTTTGAAGCTAAGGATAAAGTCTGAATGCAATGCAATCAATGGAATAAACAAAGTGTAAGCTTATGTTTGCATGATTTTTAGGTTAAAATATTTACTTTTGTTCCAGTTAATGGCATAGTTCCCCCAAACTTGTATGCATTTCTTTCTTATGTTGAATACAAAAGAAGATATTTTAAAGAATGATGGAAACTAAAGAGTTTCGGGTCTCAGTGACTTCCATAGTGTTTTTTGTCCATACTATGGAAATCAGTGGGACCTGAAACTGAAGAAAGAAATGCACAAAAGTTTTTAATGACATGAAATTATAAGAAATGTATGAGGACTTTAAACATTTCTCTTTTTTTTTGCCTTTCACTTACAGGTAGCTGTTCGACGCGAAAAGGCCTGAATGGAGCGTGTTCAAGTCCATGAGTACACAGGAAGCTTCGTGGGCCAAAATGTGAGGTTCAAGATGACGTCAGTGTGTGGACATGTCATGAGTCTGGACTTTATCTGCAAGTATTTTGTCTTCAGTAGGACTGCTTTGAAAATGCAGGCAAAATCTGTAACTGTATGCGCAAGACAATGCAAACTTGACTTGTTGTATTATTCCCTATCCTTAATGTTTTGCAGGAAAGTATAACAACTGGGATAAAGTTGATCCAGCTGAGTTGTTCAGTAAAGCTCCGACTGAGAAGAAGCAAACCCCAAACTAAATATGGTCAAATTCCTTCAGGTGACTTTACCTTTCATTACATGACTGATTATGGTGTATCGATTGTCTAAAATAATTAAACATTTAGATTAACTAAAATCTAAAAATTTAAAATCAACATGTAAGCCTGTCAAAGAATTTATTTAGATATTAAATAATAATTTCTATTCTAGAAATATTCTATAATGTAATTATATTATGGTTAGTTTAATAACAATATTTCAACAATTAAGTTTAACAGTAGTCTTAACATATTTAAAAACTCTTCCATAAATCTTTAAATAACGAAGTAGCTTTTTATTGACAGGTTGAAGCAAAAGGTTGTGACTATGTCGTCCTGTGGTTGGACTGTGACAAAGAAGGAGAGAACATTTGTTTTGAGGCGAGTCTGAATCTGTTGAAAGAAAATGCAACCTAAGATTGTCCATATAACTGGGGCTGAAGTGTTCGGCCCTGTTTTGTTTTTTGAGTGTGCGTTTTCTTCATGTGTTTGTGTTGTACCGTCTCAGGTGTTGGATGCCATCCAGCCTGTGATGAATAAGTCTTACGGTAATGAGTGTACAATCTATCGGGCTAAGTTTAGCTCCATCACAGACACAGATATCTGTAACGCCATGACCCGACTCGGAGAACCCAACAAGAACGAGGCTTTGTCTGTAGATGCACGTCAGGAACTGGACCTCAGGATCGGCTGTGCTTTCACACGGTATGAAAGCGGTCATCTGGGTAGAGCAGACCTGCTTGGATTTCTTTTTTTTATTCATACCATTACAATACAATCTTGTGTTGTGCAATATACACAACTTTTGAAAGGTTTGGGGTTTCAAATGTTTTTGAAAAAGTTTCTTATGCTCATCAAGTCTGCATTTATTTAATAAAAAATATAATAAAAGCAGTAATATTATAAAATATTATTTCAACTTAAAATAATAGTTTTTTATTATTCTGGTATATTTAAAAATTGTATTTTTTTCAAGTGATAGCAAATCTGAATTTTCAGATTTTCAGTGAAGACAGTGTCACATGAACTTTCAGAAATCATTTTAGTATGGTAATTAGGTGGTCAAGATAAATGTATTATTAACATCATTGTTGAAAACAGTTGTGCTGCTTAATATTTTTGTGGATGGGTCAAAGACAAAAAAGGGTTTAAGCATAAAAACAATAAGTGTAATACTGCTTTAAATTGATTGTCAGTAATACTTTTTTACTCATTTAAAACACAATAAAATTTTATATGCACCCTTTATTCTTTTATATATTTTAATATGTACACGTCAGAATAAGCATGTTGTTTGCATTTTTACATAAATGTTGTGTTACACTGAATGACAATGTAACATTATTTCAACCAAATTTTGACATTTTATTCTCCAAAAACTCATTTGAAACCTTAAAAGTAGACACTTTACTTACATTTAATGTGCTTTCTATGGACATAAAATCACTTTTGTAAATTTCGTTCGATGCGGACATCTTAACGTCTTTGACCCGGATACATTTTTTCAGGATTCTTTGTTGAATTATAACATGCATTATAATACATTATAAATGTATTTACTGTCACTTAAATCACTTACTGTCAATTTAATGTCTTTGCTGAATAAAATTAATTTCTTTCAAAAAACATTTCTTACTGATCTCAGTAGTGCGTTTGTCAAACTGTTCTAATAAAATATGATAGTTGGGTGCTTACACCATTATCTCTAAATTTTAGTTTCCAGACCAAATACTTCCAAGGGAAATATGGGAGTTTGGACTCCTCCTTGATCTCGTTCGGTCCCTGTCAGACTCCCACACTGGGATTCTGTGTGGAACGGCATGACAAGATCCAGTCCTTCAAACCTGAAGCCTACTGGGTTGTACAGGCAAAGGTCAGTTCTGGCCTTTACTGCTCAAATTACAAAATCCAATTTGACAAATTCTGACAAAAATAGCTGTTTATTATAGCGCATTACATTCTTGATTTTCTGCATATTTCATTTTTGTGCACACAGGTTTTTTAAAGGCAAGGACAGGCCACTCACCTTGGATTGGGACCGAGTGCGAGTTTTTGACCGAGATGTTGGTCAAATGTTTGTTAACATGGCAAAGACTGCTAAGGAGGCTAAAGTATGTATTTGTATCTCAATTATTTCCTTTATATGTAATTTCATATTTCAGAGGTGCAGGATGTGCTGAAGCTCTTCAGGTGTAACTGCGTGATTTATTTTTATTATTGACTTTTCTTGCAGGTCGACTCGGTGACTAAGAAAGAGAAGGCCAAGCAGAGACCTATCGCATTGAATACAGTGGAGATGTTAAGAGTGGCCAGCTCTGCTTTGGGTGGGTGTGATATTATATGGTCCAGAACTTATTTTACACTAATAACTTAACTAGTTAGCTAATAATTTAGACTGAAAATATGTAACGCACACTACTGTTCAAAAGTTTGGGCTTCGTAAGGTGTTTTTGAAAAAAAGTCTCTTATGTTCACCAAGGCTGTATTTATTTGAATAAAAATGCAGTAAAACAGTAATATTGTGAAATATTAATAAAATGTAAAATAACTATTTTCTATTTTAACCTATTTTAAAATGTCATTTATTTTTGTGACAGCAAAGCTAAATTTACAGCATCATTACTCCAGTCTTCAGTGCCACATGATCCTTCAGAAATCATTCTGAAATGCTGATTTGCTGCTCAAGAAACATTTCTTATTATTATCAATGTTGAAAACAGTTGTGATGCTTAATACATTTTTTCAGGTTTCTTTTATGAATAAAAATGCAAGCGTTGTGTGAATAAATAACCGCATTTATCCCAAAAAATAATAATAATTTGACTGTAGTGCAAATGTGATTTTATCTTTATTTCTCAGGAATGAGTCCCCAGCACACTATGCAGATAGCAGAGCATCTCTACACACAGGGTTTCATCAGCTACCCTCGCACAGAGACCACACATTACCCTGAAAACTTTGACCTGAAGGGCACACTCAAACAACAGGCCAACAGCTGCTTATGGGGTGAAATGGTGAGGAAGAGCTCTTTCCTTATTTGTATTATTTTATTTTTTATATTTTTTTAATAATTTCTATAGCCTTTAATCCTGATATGGCATTTAAAAAGGATGTCAAATGATTAATATTGTCTTATGAAAAATGCTTATGTCTGTGTATACAGGTAAAAGCTCTGCTTTCTGAGGGCATTAACAGGCCAAGGAAGGGAGTGGATGCAGGAGACCATCCGCCAATCACACCCATGAGAGCTGCCTCTGAGAACGAGCTGGGTACGACTGTCAGACTGCGTATTTTCACATTTACATGTCTGATATTGAAACTGTCTAGCACAAAAATATTATAGAATACACCCAGGTAGGGCTGCATGATTTTTACAAAAATCATAATTGTAGATTATTCCCTTGAAATTGTAATTGCGATTATTAATTAGGATTATCACAATTTACATTGAATAATGTTTATACGATTGTTTAATGCAACTGCATGCCGTATTTTTATATGAAAATAAACAAACTGAAAACACTAACTGAAAAACTTTTAGTGCTTTTCTATAGTATTAAGCCTCAAATGTCAACTATACATCGGATTGGTTTCTTCTTTAAATTATAAAAAAGTAAAAATATGAATGGTATTATAATGTTATACTAAAACTAAAATTAAAATAATGGGAAAAACCCTTACGATAACATGTAGAAAGAAAAAAACACTTCTTAAAGGGTTTGTTCACCCAAAAATTTTAATTACTCTCGATAGATTCGATAGATTACCCTCAAGTCATCCTAGGTGTATATGACTTTCTTCTTTCAGACGAATCCAGTCGGAGTTATATTAAAAATTGTCTTTGACAATTGTCCGCTCAGAAGTGATGCACACGGAAACGCAGGGGAGAGATCAAAACAAAACAACGGTCACTAATTAGAAGTACAAAACAAGGATTTGTAAAGAAGAATGACGGAGGATTTCGATATAAGCCAAGAGGAGACTGGTTTTCCTTTGCTAAAGTAAGGAAACTTTGCTTCCTTTGCTCCTGTTAACAAACGTTGGTTTTCACGAGACTCAACGGCACATGTGCAATGCTGACCTCAGAGGTCATCCGCCCGGAACTGCTTCCATGCACAACTGTCGGCGCAAGCTACGAGAATACTTTTTTGTGCAAAGAAAACAAAAATAACAACTTTATTCCACATTTTCGTCTCAGTACAATGATGCGAGCGTGTGGCGTGTATTCTCGTAGCTTTGTAACTTTACAGTTGAACCACTGTCACACGGACTACTTTGTCGGTCATCTTGGTACTTTTCTGGACCTTGAACGTGGTAGTTACCTTGCTGTCTATGGGCGGGTCAGAGAGCCCTCAGATTTTATCAAAATTATCTTAAATTGTGTTCCGAAGATGAACGAAGGTCTTACGGGTTTCGAACAACACAAAGGTGAGTAATTAATAACAGAATTTTAATTTTTGGGTGAACTAACCCTTTAACACAGGTCAATCAGGAGGTAATGGTAGGGTCAGGGTCATGAATCAAAGCCCCAGACATGGTGTTGCAATCATTTGACTTGAGTGCTGTGCAGTTGATAAAGAAAGCAGCTAAAAACGATGTCTGTACATGCTATGATCTGTATACTGTGAAAACAAACAAAAAGAGATAACATTTTAAAGGAGTCATGCAAAGAGAAATGGAATTTTCCTTGATCTTTTCAAGTAATAGTTCAGTGTACTGTGAAAACAAATGTTTCTTTTGGGGTCGATAAGTTTTTAGTAAGAAGTCTCTTCCAAGATGGCATTTATCTGATTAAAAAATGCAACAAAACAGTAATATTGTGAACTATTATTACGATTTAAAATAACTTTTCTATTTTAGTATTTTTTAAATGTAATCTATTCCTGTGATCAAAGCTGAATTTTCAGCATCATTACTCTTCAGTGTCACATGATCCTTCAGAAATCATTCTAATATACTGATTTGCTGCTCAAGGAGCATTTCTTACTATCATCAATGTTGAAAACAGTTGTGCTGCTTAATATTTTTGTGGAAAACGTGAAGCATTTTATTTCAGTACTCTTTGATGACTAGAAAGTTTAAACGTACAGCATTTATACGAAACAGTAGGCAAGGCATTTCTTTAAAAGAAATCCTACTGACCCCAAACTTTTGAACAGTATATCCATACACATATCCATACCCACAATACTTTTGCACATCAGAAATACAGTTTTTAAACATCTGACGTCAGGTTGATTACGCGCAGTGAGTAATGCAACTAAAGTTTTTGATGGCTCATTTAATATGTCCCAGAGCATACACACACTAACTTTGATCCTAATTACCATCTGAATGGCCATGCTACTGTAAATCACGTGGTTTATTTCTTTTCCACGCTGATGCACTTTGGGCTTTTAGGCAGACTCATCTCTCTCTTGTCCTTTCTGCCAATAAATGCGCACATGAAAATGACCTTCAACACGAAAGCATTTGACCTAAATGTTGTCCTGTGTCCATCTGAATGTGGAATAACTCACAAATTATTCATCAATGTCCCTCATCATTCAAATTAGAGCTTAAGCTATGTCCCTGTTCAATGGGCTTCAATGTCCACCGCTTGCATAAGTGAGATTAATGCTGATTTTCTCAAGCCAAATGTACTGAGTGAAATCCAGCCACAGTATAGAGGTCTTTACAGTTACGTCCTCATTTTGGATGGTAAAATATGTGGAAAATGAAGTTATAAACTGAAATATATCAGCAATTCAGTAAATGCTGGTGGTTGACTTGTGTTTTCCACCATCAATATTTTTTCAATTATGAATTTTAACATGGAGAAGCGTTATTTACTAAAAAGTCAGCTCAAATGCAACATCTAAAAAAAAGTATTATTGACATATTTTCATAAGTATTAAATATTATGTTCCAATAAATGCACATAAAATGTATTCTACAACTGCAAAAAGTTGAGTCAGACGATACCCAGATTGCTTTTTACAGCTTTATCATGATGTAGTGTCAAATATAAAGTAACGTTACTTTACGCATTGGTCTTTTGTTTTTTTTTAATCACCCCCAGGCCAAACCCAGTCGCCTGCACTGCTCTCACTGTGACGAGACCTACAGTTTGCCTCAGAATGGAGCCATTAAGCTGTACAAAGAGCTCAAGTGTCCTCTGGATGAGTTTGAGCTGGTGCTGTGGACCTCGGGATCTCGTGGCAAAAGCTACCCTGTGTGTCCATACTGCTTCAGCAACCCTCCCTTCAGAGACATGAAGAAAGGTAGGAGAGACTAGAAAGCTCTGATTCTCATTTAATAATATAAAATATATCCATTCTTAAATGTTATGTGTTAAATTTATCATAGAGGCAATGTAAAAAGGACAGCCCAAGATAGAGAAATGTTTTCAAATGTTTTTAACACTTGTTGGAACAGAAAAATCAAGCAAAGAAATGTAAATGTTCTCCTACTTGAAGAATAGCCCTAATTATGTAATTTCTCTTTCTGTTTCGGTCAGGGATGGGCTGTAATGAGTGCACCCACCCTTCCTGTCAGCACTCCCTCAACTCTCTTGGCATTAGTCAGTGCGTTGAATGTGAGACGGGCGTCCTGGTCTTCGATCCCACCTCGGGTCAAAAGTGGCGGATGGCTTGCAACAAATGCAACGTTGTGGTGCATTTCTTCGAGCAGGCCCATAAAGTGCAGGTGTCCCAGGACAGCTGTGATTCCTGCGAAGCCTCCCTGGTCATAGTGGACTTCAACAAGACACGCTCTCCGTTGCCTGAAGGTGAAACGCAGCACACTGGCTGTGTGTTTTGCGATCCTGCGTTCCAGGATCTGGTGGAGCTGAAACATGCGACCATGCGGCATCCCATGCTCCGGGCCGGAGGAGCCCGCAGAGGGAAGGGAAGAGGGAGGAGGCCCATGGGGAATCCTAAAAAGCCTAAAGATAAAATGGCAGCCTTGGCAGCATATTTTGTGTAGAATGTTTTGTAAAGATTATTTGTCTTGCGGTAGAAAATCAAAGCCAGCTTAATAAGTCTTAAAGTGCAAACTAAAAAGAGAAAATGGCAATAAAGTTTTAGATTAACAGAGTCAGTGCTGTATTTTTATTCAAAGCATCATTTGTTAAAGAAAAAAAAAGAGAGAGAGATTTAGACACCTAAATCTAAATAGATTTTTTTTTTAAATGTTTTTGAAAGAAGCATTTCTCTCATGCTCACCAAGACTGCATTTATTTGATTAAAAATACAGTAAAAACATTAATATTGTGAAAATACTCATTTAAAACAACTTTTTTCTATTCGAATAATCATGTGACATTGAAGGCTGGAGTAATGACTGCTGAAAATTCAGCTGCTTTTTAAAATATATTCAAATAGAAAAGTCACACATCTATATGAAACAATATACAACATTACGTTTATAAATACACGATAAATCACTTGATGTAAACTACACCAAAAAAAAAACAAACATTAAACATGATCTGAAATACACAGAAATGCCTAAACTAGCAAAAAGTTTATTTATTTATTTATTTTATTATATATTTAACAGCGTGTTTTACTTGTATTTTCAAATTTGCACTCAATTGCACTTCATTTCATTCAGACCGAGTATATAATAAACAACATTTGACAATGTTTAACTAATGAGATCACATTATGCAAACAATATTAAGACAATAAAAAAAAAATCAGTTTTAATGAAAAGAAAAGGCGCCACTTGTCCATCAATATCATGTTTAAGAATAAAAGGTTTGGATAACGTTTTTGGTTTTACATTTAAACAAAACACTGCAGTATTAAGTCATCAGTCATGCACAAAATAAAAAAAGTTGTTCTATGTCCATCTAAAGCGTCTTTGCATATACAATGGAGAAAAAAAAAAAAAAAAAAAAAAAAAATTTCAGTGCGTGCACTTTCTCGTAAGATAGTGTACTATGTATACTAGATACATTCTGTAATTTAGAAGAATATTTACTGTTTGTAGTTTGCAATCTAAAAGGCGGAAAAGTATATGACTTGTCACATTTTTACGGATAAAATGTGGTATCACAATGCATATGTTTTCTTTCGTTACATTTGAATAATCATCAAGCGTAAACTTAAAAAAAAAAAAACTCCCTGACGTTTGTAGTTCGGACAAACAGGTAGCCCCGCCCCAAACGCACGTCATTGGTTGATGTTGACAGAGGGCCGCCTCCGAGTGTTCTGATTGGCCAACACTCTCACATTCTATTTTGCATGGATTATTGTATGAACCTAAAAACACAAGCCTTAGAAAAGTGTATATATCAAACATTTATTATATCTAAATATTCTATTCTGTTCTGTACTATTACCGTAGCAACATATTTGCTTTAAACTGATAGAGGCAAATTACATTTACAACACTGACAGGTTCTGGTGAAGGTGGTTTTGTGTATTGCTTTATTTATTTATTCATTTTATTATTTTATTTGTAGATTCATATGTGAAGTTTGCATTCAAGATTTCAAGGTGGTAGAGGCTCCAAGTCCACCCTCAGAATGAGTTGCGTGGAGCAAGGCGATGCTGGGAAGTTTCTCAAGAGTTTTCTGGAGGATTTTCCAAACCCGCTTGGGACGGAGGACCCGCTCCCCATCAGTCCACTCAGCCGCAAAGTCTCTATGCAGGAGGTGAAGGGAGAGAGTCTGGATCTTGGCCTCCGACTGCTCTCAGCCAGGTTTGTTATGTGCATATCATGTAGATCAGGGGTTTTCAATCTTTCAGGTGTCACGGACCCCCATATATGATCAGTAAGGGACCCCATTCTTTAATTGAAAAGACAGCTATGTAGTTTAATATATAAAAAGATGTAATTTATATTGTGAAAATTAATATTATAAATGTGTATAAAATAATATTTATCTTATATCTTAATTCTACTGTACTGTTATGTATTATTTACTAAAATATTATGTTTATGAATATTATTATATTATAATTATTTATCAATATATTTTTCTTTAAAAATTTTTTTTGATTTTAATGTTTGTTAAAAATATATTTTACTAATTTGTAAAAATATTTTACTCAGTATATTTATGTATTTAGTTTGATCTTATTTATTATTTTTACTTAAACTTAAACACTGTCTTTCTCTAATCTTTTCGACAGAACCTCTAAAACTCCCTTCAAGGTCTCTGGGGGTTCTTTTATTTTATTTTTTTCTTAAATTATTTATTTTATTTTAATCATTATTTAATTTATTTATTTACTTAGAGTTGCATTGTTTACTCTGCTTTTCTCCAAACGTTTCCACGGATACCCCACCACTCCCTTGTGAGTCCCTGGAGGTTTCCACATTTTTATTTATTTGAATCATATTTATTTACTTTTTTCAATTATTATTTTAATCAGTTAATTTGTTTAGTTAGTTAGGTCTTACGTTTTATTATTTATTTAATTTTGAGTTTTGTCCACAATTTTTCTCTAAACTTTTCCATGAACTCCCTTTGGGGGTCCCGTTTGCCAGTTTGAAAACCCCAATCAAGGTTTTCATGGAAGAGAGGGTGATTTGTGTTTATGTTTCCTGTTGAATGACATACTCTTCTCTCTCAGCTATAGATACAGCTTTATATTTGTGTTTACATGTCCATTTACTTTGTACGTTTTCTTAAAACATGTACAGGATTTAAAAAAAATGTTGCGACACACCTGTCCTCTTTAACCAGAGGAGGAGCGTTCTCTCATTCCTGTCTCTCTCTCTCTCTCTCTCTCTCTCTCTCTCCCATTTGCTTTCTCTCGCTCTCTGTCTGGCATGATCTGTTTTCCTGACAGTATTTGCACCAGGTCAGCACGTTTCACTATGCATGGGCTGATTAAGAGATTTGGTGTTTTTCAGTGGCAATCCAAGCGTTAAGTGAAAACATTGGTGCAGAAATGTTCAAGTTTTTGTTTTATCTCTTTCTGTATTTTTTCTCTCTCTCCCCTGACGCATTTCTCAGGGCAGACTTCCTGTCTGTGAAATCACTATTGTTATACCCACTTCCTGACATTTAGACTTAATTTCCTCTTTGTTGGAAGCTGTGCCGAATTCAGCTGTCTGCACAGTGCAGATTTGTCAGGGTTAACCATTTTCATTGCCGCAGCTCTTGTCAAGTAGGACAAGGGAGTGTTTTCCGACATCTTGCTGTTATGTCGTTAGATAACATCTCACGCAGCCGAAATGCTTCTTTTAAATAGACGTGTTGTGTGAGTGGGTGGTCGGGCCATTTGCCACTTGTTGCTCCAGCAGGCAAAGTGCTAAATCTAATCCAAAACCAGAGCAAATTCACTAGTGCAAGATGTGCTTTTACTCCACGGTTTCTGAAAATGCATGAGTAGCATTTGGAGAAAAGTCGTTTGTTTCTAGTCATTGCATTTTGTACACACACTGTGTAGACTACCGTTCAAAAGTTTGGTCAGTAAGACTGCTGTCCATGGTTTTTTAAAATAAATTAATACTTTTATTTATCAAGGATGCATTCAATTGATCAAAAGTGATAGTAAAACATTTATAATGTTACAAAAGAATTCCATTTTAAATAAGAAATGTTCTTGAGCAGCAAATCAGTATATTAGAATGATTTCTGAAGGATCATGTGACACTGAAGACTGGAGTAATGATGCTGAAAATTCACATCACAGGAATAAATTACATTTAAAATGCATTCAAATAGAAAGCAGTTATTTAAATTGTAATAATATTGTAACCCTATTATTACTGTTTGCACTGTATTTTTGATCAAATAAATGCAGCCTTAGTGAGCATGAGAGACTTTAAAAATTTTTTTACAAGCTATTGTACAGTCATGTGAGTTCATTTGAGTGTGCATGTTTTATTGTCACACTGTTGACATGTTTTAAAGAAGTGCCCCATCCTGGCTGGGTGCAGCGATGTGCAATGCTGCTGTCACTGAACTGCTTAAAGATGACCTTTCACCTCACTACTGCCCCAAAGATCCTGAACCGCAACCAGAAGATGAACAGGAAGTTGTTTGTGAGTAATTCACTTGATTTGGTTCTTGTTCTTTTCTGTTTGTGAAATGTAGGGTTATTGTCATGTTTAAATTGATGCCTTTTGATACAAGTTAATAAGTTGGAAAAATAATTGTCAAATTATACAGTATGTATACAGCATTGAACAACTAAAAAATATAACCAAGCAATAAATATATAAAAATAATACAGTAATGTAAAAAAAAAAAGAAAATCACTTTTTTTTTGTAATATTTCCATAATTTAAAACATTTCCATAATGCTGGTGGCCCCAAGCTGAATTGCAAATTCTGAAGAGGCCTTGCATTATTTCTCCATCTTGTTTTTTTTTCTTGTGGTCTTAACATAAATGTATCTTTAGAAAACAAATCCCCCCAAAATTGCTTTACTATATCAAATATGTGACTAATATGCTGACAATACTACAGTTAATGAATAAATATAAACAATTTGCAATGATAATTTAATGATCTCAGCTGCATCGCTACCCTCTGGTGTTCAAACAAAAGTAGTACATGAAGTTTTTACAGATTTTACATTATGTTTGACAACTTATCTCTCCTGGGAAAAAGTAGCAGTTCATGCTTTTTTTTTTGACTGTTTACATTATTCTAATCTAAATGTGTGGTTTCTATGACGCTCTGTTCAAACACTGTAGCATTATGATAAGTGTGTGTTTGTGTAACTGTGCAGTGTTGCAGTCTGAGCCATTGCAGCGCCTCTTTATTAATAAATTGAGAGAGGTGTGTTTGGCCTGGCAGAAACAGCTGCCCAGTCCCGGGTCGTCCTCGTCACGGACACACAGCTGCTCTGTTCACGCCATTCGAAACACTCGCAGAAAGATGGAGGACCGTCACATAATCCTGAAAGATTTTAACCAGCTTCTGGGACTGCAGGTGAGGCTTCCCCACCTCAAACCTTGCATTGTTGTTGGGATGCATGCGTAGATATTTAACCAGACCCGTCCCTGAATATGCATATTTCCCTTTTATATAGAATGCAAAATGTTGCATGTTCAATTCAAGTCCATTTTTATTTGATTGTCTTTAATGACTTTTCTGCATGGACTTTTTAGAATAATTGGTTCTGAGGAATGAATCTGATTTCTGTTTGTTTTCTACAGGATGGAGAGTATTACGCTGTGTTTGATGGACACGGAGGGGTGGATGCTGCCACATATGCTGCCACTCACCTGCATATCGTACTCAGCCAGCAGGAGGCACTAAAAAGCGATGCTGCCACAGCCTTCAAAAGCTCCTTCACACAAACAGATGACATGTTCAAGATTAAAGCCAAGAGAGAGGTAAGAACAACCACCAAAAGTCTGAGACCACTAGTGAAAATGCTTACATTTTAACAATTTTAATTTAACAATTTTTTTTGTCAGTTTGAATCCTGATTTAAAGGGGTCATATGATGCTGCTAAAAAGAACATTATTTTGTGCATTTGGTGTAATGAAATGTTTATGCGGTTTAAAAAAAAAACATTATTTTCCACATACTGTACATTATTAGCATGTTTGACAGCCTACATCCTTCACAGATTGGCGCTGCTGTGATTTAGGTTAAAAACACATAAATACTTAGTACATATCAAATGATATGTACTGAATGTACTTTTACCACATTATTATTTATTTATTTGTTTTTTTTCTTTAGTCTTATTTAATTGTTCTTTCTGTTCTCGTGTCATGTATGTATGTGTGTACCAAGAGCTCCTAAAAAACCACAACAAATTCCTTGTGTGTTTGCACACACTTGGCGAATAAAGCTAATTCTGATTCTGAAATGATCAGTAATAATAGACAAAGGAATAGTGATCACGTAATAAAAACAGTTACTCAGGCTTGTGTGGAGCGACATTACCGTCTGATGCAATATAGTCGCACAGCATCGTCTTTTAGTTTCAATCTTTCTGAAAATCCTGTGTCGAATTATGCCTTGTTTGTAAACGCATCCATGTTAAAATGAAGTGAACGAAGGACCAAGTTCTTACTGATGTAGTCTGGAACTTCATTAAAAATAAAGTTCATCCACTCTTTCCTAATGTTAGGATTAGAAGGAAGGCAATTCAAAGATTGCCATCTTTATTGTTTGGTTCCTGCATAGATCTGCGCTTGACTCTCTCATTATTTACAGTACATGTGTGAATCAGTGGGTGGAGCTAAACAGGCAGTGATGTAGAAGCAGGCGTTGATCTTCTTCTGCGGAGGCGGTGCTTAGCCACACTATTACGTCATAAAGTGGCACATTCTACAACCTGTCATTTTGACAGATTGCCTTCAATATAAGCTGTTTTTAGACTAACGAGAAAGTTGAGTTCTGAAACCTACAGGATGTTTTTATAGTACAATGACCTCTTATATGTCAAAAGATCAGGGGAATTTAGATTTCTCGGTTTTATGATCCCTTTAGTAGTTTTTAGAAGGCGTTAACATGCTCAAAGCACAGATTTGCTTTCTGAGCTTAAATATCTTAAGTATATCTTATATATTTCCTCTCATTTTACATTTTCATATTTTTAAGATTTTATATATTTTTAAATTCTATAACTTTTTTATTTCTTGTTTCAAATCATTTACAAAGAAACAGCAGATTTTCAGTGTGATCTCCGATTTATATGTGCAACAAATAAATGAAACAACAAACCTACTTTTAAACATGCACTACCAAAAAAAATCGTCAAATACAGCAAGCTGACATTTATGATGGCTTTCTTCAAAGTGTACACTTGTTTTCCTTTAAACAGGTTTTTTTTTTCAGTGCATCTGCTTCTGAAACACTGTGCACAATCAGTTTCAAGAGTTATAATATCTTTCCCCTTATTTGTCAAGCTGGTGCATTTTGTGGAAATTCACGATGGAAAGAAATCTTCACACCTCTCCCACTTCTTGAGATGTAACGGTTATGTGTATTGAATGTTCCTATGCTGTAATAAATACAGATAAATATAGTCCGTGTTCCTCCTGTGGTTAAATGCATGATAACGAAACGGTGCAGGCTTGCTGCACATCTGTCGTCCTCCACAGGTACGGATATGAGTAATTACTTTCTGTTTCAATGGCACGATCAGTTTAAGTATACAATAATTCATTTTACCTATACTTAAATTATACAGAATTCAATAAGTTGACTGAAGTGTCATTAAATGGTAAAAATAAATATTTTAGTAGGGCTGTACAGTATTTTAAATATAAATGGGTAAATGAAAAATTTTTTTCATTGTGAAATTATTGACAAAATATTTTGTTAAAATGTGAATGATTTATTATTTGACTATTTTGTAATATAAAAGTCTGCTAAATTATTTGATTAAATTCTATTATATTTTATTAAATTCATAATTTTATTTAGAGCTATTAATTTTGAACATAATAGCACAATAAAAAGTGATTTATGTACTAAATTATTTGACTATGTATTTAACCGTGTTATTTGATGAAATTAGTTTTACTTAAATTTTAATGGAAATTATATACAGTATATTATTTAATTAATTTAGCACAGTTAATTTTGAACACAACACAATGAAAAGCTATTAAAATTTAAATATAAATAAGTTTTATATATTATATACAAGTATATTGTTAGAATGTGAATTTATTATTATTTAAATATTTTTTATAATTAAAAAATGATTTTAAATGATAAAATATTTTAAGTTCATTATTTAATTTAATGTAGTTAATTTTGAGCATAATAGCACAAAAATATTTCATTTGTGATTTATTTGCTAAATTATTTGACAGATCATGATTAGATTTAAATTAATCAACTGACAGCCCTAGTTTTTGAAAATGAGGGTAGTATTTGCATTCACTGATTTTAGTTTGTTGATTTGAAAGATTTATGCTGATTTAAACTTTATCACAGTACTGTTTTAATGTAAAATAGTATACTGTATTACAGTAATGAGAATCATAATTATAAAAAAAAAATGATGTGGCACACTCATAGTTACCACAGGATGGCAAACTAAACATTATTTTGTCTTTAGCGTCTGCGCAGCGGCAGCACTGGTGTGGCGGCTTTACTGACCTCTGATCGCCTGACTGTCTCCTGGCTGGGTGACTCTCAAGCTATGCTGGTTCGACAGGGAGAACCAGTGACCCTAATGGAGCCACACAAACCTGAGAGAGAGGTATGACACACTACAAGCCATTGCTGACCAATAGAGACAGAACCACAAGAGCGTATCAGATGCTCGTCTGTTCTCTGTGAGCAGCTGAAATGTGAGACAGAGGAAGCGACTGCTGACCACGTGCTGAATCAATATTAGCAGTGTTTTCTGCATACATACTACAGCGACTGAATGCCAAAAGCATCAGAAATGGTCCTTAGAGACACTGACTGACTTAAGATCAGCGTTTCTGCACATGATTTGCAAAATAAATACTTAAGCCATAGAGTAATAATGATGCAATGGATGCAAACAATTTAAACGTCTGGAGAGACAAAATAAAGATATTATTCTCTGAATTTAGCTAAATATAGGGGTTTGCTGTTGCGAAAGCTCCAGGCTGTATCTTGAATGTTTGTGCTTGTGTTTCTGTGCAGGATGAGAAGAAAAGAATTGAGGATCTGGGTGGATGCATTGCTTTCATTGGTTGTTGGCGGGTAAATGGTACCTACGCCGTTTCCAGAGCAATAGGTGAACAATCTCGCAAACCAAATCAAAAAACAAGATTATTGAGTAGTTACAAGTATGGCTGGGTGATATACTATTCACAAGATATTTGAATATTGAAGGTTTTTTATTTGTTAATTAATAAGATGGACATTTTAAAAGCGTCTCTGATTTTAAATTTCGGTAGCAAAAGTGGAGTCAGTTGGATTCATGTTCATGAATCAGTTCAGAAACTGATTCAACAATTAATTTGCATTATTGCTCGAAAATGTTCACAGAAGCTTATTTACTTGCGTGTGTTAAGAAAATATATGTAGGTATATATTGCTGATTATCATGATGCTATATTGGTGCATATAACATAAAACGTATTTGTTTATATAGTGAGAAATATGTCCTGATTTATTTTTATTTATTTATTTTTTCACATATATGTAATATTTTGGATCTGTTTTTTTAAGTTATTTTGGTTATATATTTATATATGTAGTGGGTACAGAAAAGAATCACCCCCTTTAAAATGATCACATTTTGTTGCTTTGCAGCCTGAAATGAAGATGGACACAGTTATTGATTTATCCAGCTGTATTTACTCAGTGCAACTTATAGCATCCAAGTGAAAGATATAACACCAACATGTCAGAAGAAAAAAGAAAAAAACAGAATCAGTGAGTTGGAAAAAGGATCACCAGTATTTTGTTGAACCAACTTTTGCTTTAATTACAGCATTTAGTCTGTTGGGATATGTCTCTACTAACTAACATCTAGACTTTGCAATATTAATAAATGCTGTGTGCTTTGGGTCATTGTCATGTTGGAAGTTAAACCTTCTTCCCATTGACAACTTTCTGGCAGAGGGCAGCAGATTTTCCTCAAGAATTTGACGATATTTTACCCCATCTATTTTTCCCTCTATCCTGACAAGTGCTCCAGTCCCCGCTGCAGAGAAACACCCTCATAACAGGATATCACCACCTCCATGCTTTACTGGAGGAATGCTGTTATTTGGATGGTGAGCTGTATTGGATTTCCGTCAGACATAACGTGTTGAGGCCGAATAATTCAGTTTTTAGTCTCATCTGCCTCAGAATCTTCAAGGTGCGTTTTGGCAAAGCTCAGTTGTGACTGGCTGCGTTTACACTTGGCATTAACATGCGACCTGTATCCAGATGTTGTCCACATACACATTGAAAAGACAAGTGTAAACATGCTTCTGATCGGAATGTTATCTGATCAGCATGTCCTGGTCCAGAGGTAGTCAAGGACGCATTGAGATCGAATCTCAGTGTAATGTAAAAGCAATCCAGCCATCATGTCTGCAATCGCAGGTCGACATCACGCAAAACACCGCCCCTGATCTGTCGGAAGAACAGAGCGCTAGTGAGACTCGTACATTTATTTTGATTTGTAAAATGTCCCGCGACTAAAAATAGTTTTCAAAAGAAAACCCAGGTCGACTTTGACTTATTTAAATATTGCGTGGGAAAGACAGATCCGATCGGTTATCCAGATCGATTAGTCGGCTGATGTTGCCAAGTGTAAACGCGCCGTGTCCTGATTGACTGATGATCCGATCTGCTTGATCGGATCACGGTGATCGCATGTTAATGCCAAGTGTAAATGCAGCCACTGCATGTGGCCTTTCTTGAGGAGTGGCTTTTTTCTTGCAACCCTCCCATACAAGCCACATTAGTGATATTGTTGTCACAACATACCAACAGTCAAACATGGTGGTGGTAGTGTGATGGTCTGGGGCTGCTTTGCACCTTCAGGACCTGGAAGACTTACCATAATTGACGGAACCATGAATTCTACACTCTATCAGAAAATCCTGAAGGAGAATGTCCTGCCATCAGTTTGTGACCTCAAGCTCAAGCGCACTTGGGTTATGCAGCAGGACAATGATCCCAAACACACCAGCAAGTCCACCTCTGAATGGCTCAAGAAAAACTAAATTAAGGTTTTGGAGTGGCCAAATCAAAGTCCAGATCAAAGTCCGGACTTAAATCCGATTGAGATGCTGTGGCATGACCTTAAACAGTCCATTCATGCTCGAAATCCCTCCAATGTGGCTGAATTAAAACAATTCTGCAAAGAAGAGTCGGCCAAAATTCCTCCACAGCGATGTGAACGACTCATTGCCAGTTATCGCAAACACTTGATTGCAGTTGTTGCTGCAAAGCGTGGCACAATCAGTTATTAGATTTAGGGGGCAATTACTTTTTCACATAGGGCCAGGCAGGTTTGGACAGCTTTTTTCCCTTAATAAAATAAATAATCATTTAAAAACTGCATTTTGTATTTACTTGCATTATCTTTGTGTAATATTAAAATTTGTTTAATGATCTGAATCTTTTAAGTGTGACAAATATGCAAAAAAAATAAAAAAACAGGAAGGGGGCCAACACTTTTTCACACCCCTGTATATTAAATTTGGGAATATTTCATTTTATTAAACTTTTTATATTGTGTGTAACAGGGTTATGTCATTAACTTAAATAAAAACTATCAAAATATTTTTTTTTAATATTAGATGAAAAACTTGAACTAAACAATACATAGAAATGTTGCATAAAGCACTAAATCTACTAACTGTAAATAAATATAAATGAAAATGTGTGTGTCTGAAATTTAATGTCGTCAATTTTTTTTTTTTTTTGATTATGGTATTTGCTGCATTGCTCATTTGCATACGGTTAAACTTTTCTCTGCTGTCGCATCGTCAGACTGCCAAAAATAACCCAGGGGTCTGAAAGGGTGTTAATAGGAATAAATTGTCCATGATAGACGCAAATCAGAGGACCAAGAGCATCTGATGGTCTGTTCATCATCTGAAATGATATTTTAAAGGGTTGTTGAATTTGAAAAGAATATGCGATTATTTAGGTCATCCGAAACGAGTCCAGTCATGCATTCAGAAGTAAGCTTCGAACGCAGGTGAAAGAAAGGCGTTTCCTCATTTGTTTTTTCCAAGAATGTCTGATCCTTGGTCATTTATTAACTCTCTTTGTTGCTACCTTTGAACTTGCCTTCATTTTTAAACAACATGTTTCCATCTTTTAACTATTTTCCTTGTTTTTACCAGCTTATATACATTTACTGGTGCTTAAAGGGATAGTTATGTGAAAAATTAAAATCCTGTCATCATTTACTCACCCTCATGTCATTCCAAACCTGTATGGCTTTAATTTTTTGTGTGGAACATAATATGGAACATAATAGATATTTTGTTTGTTGAAAAATATTGGTAACCAAACCGTTCCGGTTCCCATTGACGTCCACTCTATGGACAAAAAATACAATGGAAGTCAATGCCAAAACGGTTTAGTTACCAACATTCTTCAAAATATCTTCTGCTGTGTTCAACAGAAAAAAAAAGAAATGCATACAGGTTTGAAACGACAAAAAGGGTGAGTAATTGATGGCAGAATTTTAATTTAATCTCTTTAATATCTCATAAACAATGTAGTACCTTAGAGACAAGCGTAAAGCAAATGCAAATATTTTTTCAGAGCGTACTTTGTTGGTTGCGCGCTCCCTATTTGATACGACTGTTACAATGCAGAGAAGACTGATGTGAATAGTCTTAACATATACAGTATTGCGTTGCATTTCGGACCACACCAGCTTCAATAATGAAATAACTGACTAGAAGGCCTTCAGCTCTGTCAGCAGATGTACTAATCCAGTGTTGTAGTGGTTAGCATTTTTAAGACTGTTATTTATTTGAAAAAAAGAAAGTATTTATGGCTATATTGTACTGTGTAAACATGCTCTTTCATGTGCCAAAACTGTATTTACGAGTCTGATTTTGCCAAGACCGTCTCTCTCTTGCTGCAGCTTTTCACAAAGCAGTTTTTCGAAATGTACAGTGAACCTTTATTTATGCATATCATTTCTTATTGGTTTTGTTACAGTGCCTTTTTTCCCCCCAAATATCAGTGTTAATACTGGCGTGTTGGTGTTATATTATCATAGCCAGACTTTGCAAACCGTGCGTCCTGCATGCTGCAAGCCGTCTCATGTTACGGCCGCGCAATCTTTTTGAAAGCCTCGTGACGAGTAGCTGATATAGTAGCACAGTCACTATAATGTGATAAGGCCAAGAATATCGCTAACCTAATGGATAGTGAATGAGGAAGGTGAAGATGGAGCGATGAGATGTTGATTTGGTGTTTGTATGGGGAAAATGTCTCGTTTGGTTCAGTCCAATGCATTCTATATTTTAATAAAAGAGTGCAAATGTCCAGATTTATATCTTATAATGTATGTAATAAAGTATATTTAAAGTTTCACAAAACATTACAGTGGCATTTTAAAGTCTGAGGCCATTGAAAATCTGGGATTTAAAATATATACACTCTCGTTTGGGGTCGGAAAGATTGTTTTAATATTTTTATAAGTCTCTTATGCTCACGAAGGCTGCATTTATTTGATCAAAAATACAGTAAAAACTGTTATATTGAGAAATATTACAATTTAAATAACTTTTATATTTTAAATGTAATTTATTCCTGTGACGCAAAGCTGAATTTTCAGCATCATTACTCCAGTCTTCAGTGTCACATGATCCTTCAGAAATCATACTAATATGCTGATTTGGTGCATATTGAAAACATTGTGAAAGTCTTTACAGCCACTTGATCGTCATTGCTGAATACAAATATTAATTTATTTACAAAAATAAAATCTTACTGAGCCCAAATATATACATTTTTTTATTTAAGGTATTTTATTTTACTTTTTTATTTTCTATATATGTTTTGAAGAGTATGAAACAAAGATTGAAAACATTGTGAAAGTCTTTACAGCCACTTGATCGTCATTGCTGAATACAAATATTAATTTATTTACAAAAATAAAATCTTACTGAGCCCAAATATATATACATTTTTTTATTTAAGGTATTTTATTTTACTTTTTTATTTTCTATATATGTTTTGAAGAGTATGAAACAAAGGCACTTCATGATGTAGAAGCATTTTCATAAGTGGTCTCAGACTTTTGGATCCCACTGTATAATATAAATATGGTGTTATTTCCCCTAGATTGACAAATATAGCAAATTGTTCATCCACTTTAGATATGGGATTAATTCTGCATTACTTAATTT